CCCCAAAACCCCAAAACCCCAAAACCCCAAAACCCCTTAAAACAGAATTGATATATAAAATTCTGAATATAACGATAATAAATATGAAATTATAAATAAGTTAGTTAACTCCTAAGTCAAAGAGGGCAAAATAAAACACTTTAAACTCATTTCTTTAAAGTGAATAATAGTCGATACCATTTAACTCTAGGAATGGATCAAATCAGGATCGCACTAGCCTAATTATGGATCCAAGAAGTTTTAACAGGAGTTTCAATTCAGGATTGTATGTCAAGTTTAATTCTTCACAATGTTTTAGTAATGAGAATAATCTAACTTCCCTTTAATCATAAATATCGAAGTTAAAACCAAATAACATTCCTAAGCCTTTGAACAAAATTATGTTTCGAGATAATAAACTAGATGCAAGTAAATGTTTCTATTTTTAATTGCTATATATAGATATTGCTTTGGATTAACCCTACAAGATATTACAAAATCATTTGGGAAACGGAAAAAATACGATGGCGACAAGCTTCATAAAGACACCAATTCCAGGAAGCAAGATTAATTCAAGCAATTAATCGATGACTCTCTAATACTTTGGAGGGAAAGAATTTCTATCACCAACCTCTGAGTAAAGTTAATAAACATCAGTTCATTAAAACATATCTTACCTCGATTAAAACAATAGTTTGAACACCAATTCTGACAACTTCTTGAGCAATCAAAGATTCACTTCAAATGATAAAGCTCGTAATTAATTAATTTAAGATGATAAGAATATTGCAGAAGTTTAATTAGTGAGTAGCATTAAAAAGAAGCCTTAACAAGCCCAGGAGACATTCAATAGAAGTGAGTATTACTAAATTTTAGAAAAATAATCAGAAAAAGATGATACAACATTTGCATCAGAGAGATGTAACTTTGAAGCTGAGGAATTAGAGGAACAGCTAGATTAAAGACTATTACAATAAGCAAAAGGTTTACCATATGTCATTAATGTCAATGAAGGAGATTTGCAATATAATATGTTTGAATTACTTGTGAATAAATTCATGAACAAAGAAGACTTAACTTAAATTAATCAAGAAAGTGAAAATCAATTGAAATAGCAGAAGAGCGCCAAAAAGAAAAGTAAGACTAAAAACAAGATTTTAAAGACTTAATCTGCAAAAAAAAATATTTCAAGTAGCAAGAAAAAAATTGATTCTCAAGAGAGATTTAGAGAGAGTGTAAACAAAGAAAATTTTAAACCATGCTAATTAAAGTTCGTTGAATAACCTAGCTAAAAGAAATTAACTAAACGGAAATAAAAATAATTATTTTAAAGGCTCTCTCTCGATGCAAAGAGAAGATAATAATAGGACAAGACAGTTTGCATAGCTACTCCAATGACCAGAAATACTAGTAGAAAACAAGAAAAGGATATATATAGTGCTCAGATTGGTTCATTTTACAATACATTAAAAATTGAGAGGAATAATATTGATGATGAAATCTACAATTAAGGAAAAATAAAATTTGGAGGAAGTTTTAAGGAAGGTCATGATTATGCAATGGGAACTGAAGAATTTCCTCAGAAGTAGCCTACTACACCAAATTCAAATAAAAGTAAATCAAGAAAGATGAGTGCAAAAAAGGCTAGACAATTTTTTCAAAGCTAAGTTGAAAAGGAAAAGGCTAAGGATATCAAACTAAAGAAACTTGAGGAGAATATAAAACTTTAGGAATTAGAGGATTAGCTGAAGTTAATGAAGCATAGAAAAGTTACAAAATAGGATAAAGAGGAATTCTTTAAAAGATAGATCAATGACATTAACTAAAGAAGAAGTAGAATGGATATGTATCACTAGGAAAGGTAGAAGCTAGAGGAATAAAAAATGAAGGAGCTTTTCAAGCCAAAAATAAATTAATCATAAAATTCTCTAATGAGTTTGAAATCATCTTTTAGATAAAATACCTCGCCATTTAACAACAATGACTCTACAATGAATTTCAAGATAGAAGATAACACTAGCTCTGATAGAAGATTGAGCTCAATGAGTAAATCAGTTTTTGAGAGACTCAGTATAGACAACTAAAAAAGAGTTAGCTTTAATAAAACTCTGAAAACTTCAGTCGAATCCAGATAATCACTTGGAGATAGCTTTGCAAAGAATAAATCTAATGAAAATAATTCTTAAAAAACTCAAGCAAAACTTGCTATTCCTATTCCAAAAAATTAAATTAAGAAAAGTTTTATCATAGATGAATTATAGAAAAGCAAGAACAAATCAACAATTTTAGACAAAGTATTAGAATAAAATTCTAGTAAGGTGACTAGAAAATTGAATGAGGCAATCAAGTCTCAGATTTAAAATAATGTGGATTGTAAAAAGAAATCTAATGGAATAAAAGTATATGAGTTTTCTCAATATTCTCTGAATAAGACCACAGATTCGTTTATAAATGAATTTTGAACTTATTTCAAAGCCTAACTTTAATAGCTTAATGAAATTAATGAATATTGAGCATTAAATTTTAATACAATCATATTTTTAAAGAAGTGTTAATATAATACTCAACATCTTGATCAGCATTACTTTCCTCTTCCTCAACGCGATCTATATTTTAAATCATTGATCCAGTTCCAGCTTCACCATAAAATGCTGGCATAGAAAAACTTCTCATTAATCTTACACTCCATTTATCTTCGCTTTATTTCTTACTGAAATCAATACCTTTAAATGTTACTGTCTTTTTACTCTTCTCTAATAATCTCTATTAGAACTCTTTCTCCTCATTATTTTATTTTTCTTTTAAGAAAAAGCTTACCACACAATATACAGTTGTAACGCATATAAGGATTGCGTAAGGATATGGGTATTCTAGTTCAGCTACCAAAGGAGCAAGAATGGCTGCCATCCTTGCAAATATGTTGCATATTCCAAATGATGTTGATCTAAAATCAGCTGGAAAGATAACGATATTAACTATTGTGAGTACATTGCAAGCTGCTGCAACTCCAAGTCTCGATCCAAATAAAAAGAAAGGGGTAAGATAAGTGTAATCACTTAGCTGAACTATGCAAAAGCTGGAGATTGCAGCTAATCCGAGAGAGACCATAAGTGAGATTCTTCCTCCAACATACTGGAATAAAACTCCAGTAAAAAAGTATCCAGCAGCATCTGCAGTCGAGCAAAATATTGTATTAGAATATATGTTTCCTGGCAAGTATTTCATGTAAAAAAGGATCATGTAGTATGAGAAGGTTGATGCTAGCCAGCACCCACATAAAATAGTTAGATTTCTCTTAAGTAACTTATCTTGCAAGTAAATCATGATTGATCTAGATTGAGGCTTCTTTTACTTTAGAAGTGATACATCTTACTTGCTACTCATTAATAGATCTACCTCTTATTAGAATAATTGGGTAAATCTAAAGTTTTTTACACCATTTACTCTAGCGATTTTAGTAATCACCTCTCTTGCTTCTTAAAATCTTTACTATGAAATTAGCAAACTTGGAGATTCTGGCAGCAAAAAAGAACCTAGCCAAGCTGTCAAAGATAAAGCCAAGCCACAATAATAGTAGTATCTCCAGTTATTAGATACTGACATGAATAGAATAGCAAAAAATATTGGCGTGGTAACATCAAAAGTTTTTAAAAGAGTTCCAGCAATGTTTTATTTCGTTGATTCAATAAACTCTAAACCATAGACATACCCAACAGAGGTGCGAATAGTAGACGCGGTTCCAACACAAAATAGCCCGACATATATTCCAATTTGGTATGGTACGAATAAGATTATTGAAATTCCTAGAGCATGAAATATATAAAAACATCTGAATATTATCTTCCTACCGTAGACATCTGCTTTTCTAGGTAAAATTAAGCTGCTTATTGTATAGCCAATGAACATGCAAGTTCCCATCAGTCCCATTTGATATTTTTCAATGCAGTGAAGGTCGAAATCTGTTATATAGTTGATGATAGTAGTTTTAGAGTCATAGTCAACTTAGAATTTAAGATTCTTACTTTGGCAAAATTGGGATGGCTGACATGGAAACCAGCTTTGATTCTCAGTTTAAATAGCATTAGTACACTAATAAGTAGGGGGAGCTTACATAAAATGAATGATATAAACCACTACTCCACCAGTCCAAAAGGCAAAGCAGAATACCATAAAAGACAAGAATTAAAACAAGCCAAAGCCACCAGCTTATTTTAGTGCTTAATCAAGTGTGATTGCTTTTGAAAAACTATAATCAGTTATACCTAGACCGTAATCATTTCTTGGTACACTTTGACTATCATTCAAAAATGGTACAGGAGCTGATAAAAGTGAATTTTCATTATTTTCATCACCGAAATCAGTTATTGCGAACCTTATTTTTCTTGCTATGGTACTATTATGCTGTGAATTGTTCAAACCTAGCCTATTGTCGTCAGAGGTCATATTTAAACTTAATTTAATAGGTGGATCCCTGCAGCATATAAATTTAAATCTTATTTCTCAGAAATTATCATATGTCTGCACAGCGGGGTTTTGGGGTTTTGGGGTTTTGGGG